GCTTTGGGGTTTCAAATGCTCAAGCCAGGCCCAGTGTCTTACTCTTCCTGCTGCCTGCGGATCCAGAACTCTTGGCTCCTTCTCCAGCACCAGGTCTGCTTGTGCACTGCTGTGCTTCCCGCCAATGATGATAATGGATTAAATCTTGAATCTGTAAGCCAGCCCCAATTAAAAACTTTCTTTTGTAAGAGTTGCTGTGGTCAGGCTGGCAATGGTGGCACACGCCTTTAAATCCAGCACTTGGGAGGCAGAGCCAGGCAGATCTCTGTGAGTTCGAGGCTGGCCTGGTCTACAGAGATCCAGGACAGGCACTAAAACTACACAGAGAAACCTTGTCTCAAAAAACCAAAAAAAAAAAAAAAAAAAGAGTTGCTGTGGTCATAGTGTCTCTTCACAGCAATAAAAACCCAAAGACAGGGACCCAGGGCAGGGGTACTGCAGGGGAGGCCCCTGAGCCAGGCTGGGTCTTGCACAGCACCCTCTTCTTCAAAGCTGGGATGCTGGGCACAAAGGCATTCTCGGAGTCTGGGAGAGTCGCTGGTCTAGAAGTCTGCACTTACCTGTTCTGTCCCATGGAGCGGTATTCCCCATGAGCCTGGGAGCGGGCCTGATAGCATTGCTGATTCTGCCCTGGTGAGGGATAAAGCCAATAGTCTGGTGTTCATGTCCTTTTCTACATACTGCTTTGTGGCCTGATGACTAGGAGCATGTAGTAGAATATTTTGAGGTGTGTTACTTTTGTTTATGTTGCATTTGTTTAACTCTGTGAAGCTGGGCTACTGTGCCTGTCTAAAACACCTGATGGTCTAATAAAGAACTGAACGGCCAATAGCAAGGCAGGAGAAAGGGTAGGCGGGTCTGGCAGGCAGAGAGAATAAATAGAAGGAGAAATCTGGGAAGACGGATTGGAGAGTTAGGAGCCAGAGAAGGAGGAGGACTCCAGGGGCCAGCCACCCAGGTACACAGCGAGCCACGGGGTAAGAGTAAGATTACGGAGTTAGAGAGTGGGGGGTGGGGCAGAGGCAAAAGGTAGACGGGATAATTAAGATACGGAAAGCTGGCTAGAAACTAAATCAAACCACGGCCAGGCAGTCCTAAGTAAGAATAAGCCTCCGTGTGTGATTTATTTGGGAGCTGGGTGGCAGGCTCTCACAAAAAAGAGTAAAATACCAACAACAATAGGAGCAAGCCACTTTACCTCTGGGGGCCTCGGCTTCTCTGACTGTAAAGGGCATAGGTAATAAAACCTCTGAGTTGCAGGATCTGGAATTGAAGCGAATTTGGGTAGAGAACCAATAGAGATCAGCATAGCTGTAAGCCGTACCCCACACATACTGCACCCTCTAAAGGGACCCTTGACTCTTAGGAAGGTAGAAGAGGGTGTGGCTGGATGTAACGACAAGGTCAGTGGGAAGGGGGAGCTGTCACCCACAAGTCAGTTTTGTCCATCAGAAATGACCTAAGTAAGGCCCTGAATCAGAAGGATGCTTGCTCCAGAAGGGAGAGATGGACACAAGGCTGTGCACATCCAGTTCACCCCCAGCTCTGTCCTCTATCTCTCTCCGTGTTTATTTATAGGAAGGGACACAGGTGGGCAGCAGCCACTGGGAAGGCCACGTGAGACACACAGGGTCTCACATTCGCTCTGCCTCCTGCCCAGTGTGGAGCTTCTGCTGAATACAGGGCCGGCTCCCAGGAGTGCTGAGCTGGGCTGGCAGGTGGCAGGCCCGCCTTGCTGGCTGCGTGGGTGTGCTGTTCTGGATGCCTGGCTGGAATCTCCTCCATAGGAGGATGAGTGTGGATGTCAAGCAAGGAAAATCGAGGACCATCAACCCGGGGACAGAGGCTGGCCCTTGAATTCAAGAGCTGGAGTCATTCATTCATTCATTCATTCACCCATTCATTTCATTGACTATCACCAGCCAATGTGATGAGCAGGGGTGGGCTGGATCTCAAGGACATGGGGACAATTCAGCAGCTTCTTTTGCCATCTAGAGGCACATGACATCACTGGGGATAGAAATCATGTGGGCTGAGGAGGTAGCAGGTTACAAAATGAAGATGCCATATGGGGTCAATAACCACGTAGACAAGAGCGACAGGAACCACTGTAAAAACTGCACGCGTCCTGGTGTGGGGAACCGGCAAAACTAAGACAGTGCAAGGCTTCAGTGACCAGACACTGTCATTGTTACTGCCAGCACCACCACCATCATCATTTTGAGTCAAGGTCTCTTGTAGCCCAGGCTAGCCTTGAACTCTGAGGATAACCTTGCATTTCTGATCCTTTTGCCTTCACTTCCCAGGTGCTGGGATTACAAGCATATGCCACAATACCTGGTTTTATGCAGTACTGGAATCGAACCCAGGGCTTTGGGCATGCTAGGCAAGCACTGTACTAGTTGAACTACATTCTCAGTCCATCCTCATTATTACCAATAACAACAACAATAAACAGGGTCTTGTTTATGTAGCCCTGCCTGACCTAGAACTTTCTATATCAGTGGTTCTCAACCTGTGGGTTGAGATCTCTTTTTGGGTCGAATGACCCTTTCACAGAGGTCTCATATATGATATCCTGCATATCAGATATTTACATTATGATTCATAACAGTAGCAAAATTACAGTTATGAAGTAGCAATGAAGATAATTTTATGGTTGGGGTCACCACAACGTGAGAACTGTGTTGAAGGGTCGCAGATCAGGAAGGTTGAGAACCACTGATCTGTATAGACCAATCTGGCTTTGAATTTACAGAAGTGGTTGGGCTTCTGCCTCCCGAGTGCTAGGATTACAGGCATGAGACTCCGTGCCTGGTTTGACCTCATTATTAACCTGAAAAACTCAGGAGAAGCCTGGAGAGATGGCTCAGCGGTTAAAAGCACTTGTTCTTGCTAGAAGAACCAGGTTCAATCCCCAGCACCCACACAGCAGATCACAACTGTCCATAACTCCAATTCCAGGGGATGCAACACCTTCTTACGACTTCTGTGGGCACCAGGCACGCATGCGGTGCACAGACATGCACGTGAGCAAAACGTATAAAATAAATTGAAAATTTTTAAAACTTAGGATAAAAATAACAGCTTTTCTCCAACTAAAACACATTTAGTACAGTATCAGCCAAACTTCTGGTTGGATTTTAGAACCAGGGAGTGGTTTACCAAAATTCTTTATTCAATTTGAAAAAAAAATACAGCATCCAGAACTGGTGAGTTTTACTCACTTTCTGATTTTGTACTACGTTGGAAATGACCAGAAGGGGCAGGTGTTTACACAGATCCACTGAGTACAGGAATTCTGTGATAAAGAGGCTTTCCAAGACGCAGGCGGAAGGGTCTGGGGTGCCTCATTGGGTAAAACACTTGCTGAAACACCCAATGGCCTGTATTGGAGCCACAGAACCCATGTAAAGATGGAGAGAGAACTGACCCCACAGAGAAGGTCTCTGACCTCCACACCCACACTATGGCACACATACCCCCCCCATAATACACAAAAACAGAACACACAGGTAATAAAAACAAAAATTAAGAGACAAGAAAGAGATTTCGCCAGTTTTTTTTTCCAGCCTCCATGGGAAAGATATTTTTCACACACACACACACACACACACACACACACACACACACACACACACACACATGGGGGAGGGGAATTCTGCCTGCCAGAGATTGAGCAAAGGTAATTAGCCCCAAAAAGTAAACCCAGAGCCCTCCAACCATGTCCTTAGCTGATCTTCAAGGCTGAAATCACGCACATTAAAAAAAAAAAAAAAAAAAAAAAGGAAAGGAAAGAAAAGCCTTTCCCCCATGATCAAGTCACCCAAAACAATCATTGCAAATTAGGGGAGAAAAAAAGGAGAGTGAAAATCCCCTCGAACCCACTACACACTGTTATTCCCTACCCCACAAAGCCCAGCACATAATGTATATGGAGTCTGAGAACCTGCTGAGCTCACACCAGGTCGTATTGTGAATGTTTCATAGCCTTTGAAAATCTCATTTCTGACGGCTGTGTGCTTCCTGTTAAGGAGGCAGACACTACCGTTGATTTAGCTTTTCCCTCCGAAGCTGACCGTTTTCCAGGCTGCTATGGTAAATAACGTTTCCAGGGACAAACCTGCTGGTTTTTAAAGTCTCTTTTCTGATCCTTTTCCTGGGCTACGTTCCTACAAGGGGGTTAGTCGGTCAAAGGGCAAAGGGTGTTCTAGAGCCTCGATAAACGCTTGGCAGATGCGTGCATGAAAGATGCGCGTGCGCAGTCAGCTCGCACTGGCTTCCCATCTTCGCCAGCACCAGCATTATTTTTAGTGTTTTCACTTTAGCAACTAGCTAAGCTCGCCGTGTGCCGGCGTCAGTGATAAGCATTATGTAATGTCATCTTCACACACACCTACAGGAGGGGACATTTATTTTGCATATCAAGAAGCCGTCGAGGACTCCTCCAGTCCCTCAGGGTGGCGGAGCCAGAAGGCAAAGGAGACCCTGACTCCTTCTGTACCTGCGCCTGGGTTCCCACCGAGCTGCAGCGTTTGTTTGTTTGTTTGTTTATTTATTTATTTATTTGCCACGGGATCTCACTAGTCCAGGCTGGCTTTGAATTCGCGATCATACTGCCTCTGTTCCTCATGCAAGAAGATTATAGGCTGGGGCCACTATGCCCGGCCAGGTCAGAGTGCGTTTTCTCTTACTTTAAAATAATAATGTTATTTTGACCCAAGATCTTGCTGCGTAGTGCCGGCTGGCCTGGAACTAGCGATCCTCCAGCTTCTGCCTCCCATGTGCTGGGTTTAGGAGCATTTTCCAACCTGTGGACTTACTCTTGTCACCCGCTCCCTTCCCAAATATCCCTGTCCTTCAAAGATAAGCCCATCCGCTCCGCTCGACGTTTTAAGCCCCATCATCCAAGCTTCCTAAACACGCATGCCCAGCCGCGGCCATCCTAGCGCTGAGGCAGAGCCACTTTAGCGCAATTAACCCCAAGTACTGCTCAGCAGGTCCCAGTGGAGTGAGAACACCTGACACCTGCGCCAGTGGCGGGTCCGGAGCCTAGGGGACAGCGCAGTCACCTGACTGCAGCGCTCGTGATTTGGTGTCGAGGTACCTAGCGCCACCGTGCGGCCAGTTCTCAAAGCTTGCGCTGTGTGCAAAGATGACCCGGGCACTTAACAGACCAGGTAAACCGATTGCCAAGACTAGTTGGGATGAGGGAGTCCTCGTATCGAAACCCTTTTAGGGGCAGGATGAGAGCCGTTAAACAAAATTATAGCTGGGCCAGAACTGAGAGCAGAGGCAGGTGGATCTCTGTGAGTTCGAGGCCAGTCTGATCTACAAAGTGAGTTCCAGGCCAGCCACCACTACAAAATGAAACAGAAATGAAAGTGAGGGGCTGGAGAGCTCGCTCTTCCCGAGGACCCAGGTTCAGTTCCCAGCACCCATTGGTAGCTTACAACCATCCATAAACTCCACTTCCTAGGGGATGAGATATCCTTTTTAGACTTCCGCAGGCACTAGGCACACAGCGTACACGCAGACATACAGGCAAAACATTAGTATACAGGACACATGAAATAAAAATAAACCTAACAAATGGGGAAGGGGTGGCAAAAATTCATATACAGGACGCATGAAATAATAAACCTTAAAAAATGGGGGACGGGGAGCAGAGAGATGTTTAAGAGTACTTGTTCTTGCAGAGGACCTGGGTTCAATTCCTAGTACCCACAAGGCGGTTCACAAATGTTCGTGCCTCTAATTTCAGGATGCACGTGATGTACAAGATATAAAACACTTACATAAAATAAATCTTTGGCCTGGCGGTGGTGGCTCACGCCTTGAATCCCAGCACGCGGGAGGCAGAGGCAGGCGGATCTCTGTGAGTTCGAGGCCAGCCAGGACTACAGAGTGAGTTCCAGGAAAGGCGCAAAGCTACACAGAGAAACCCTGTCTCGAAAAACCAAAAAAATAAAAAATAAAATAAAATAAATCTTTAAAAAACATGACTATATGGGCTGGAGAGATGGCTCAGTGACTAAGAGCATCGGCTGCTCTTCCAGGGGTCCTGAGTTCAATTCTCAGCAACCACATGGTGGCTCACAACCATCTCTAGTGGGCTCTAATAATTAAAAAACAAAAAAACAAAAAATAAGACTATAAAAGAAAAACTGAAATACACACACACACACACACACACACACACACACACACACACACACCGGATAAACGGCCGGCCCTGGGAGCTCAGAATCGCCCTTCCCGGTGCCGGGGCCTGGGGACGCAGAGTCTGCGCTGCCCGGCGCCTCCTGGCACCTGGAGCCCCCGCGGCTCCAGCGACTGATGAGCGGCCGCGGTCGCCCCGCGGCGTGACCCGCGCGCGAAGCGGGTCTCCGGGCCGCGGCGGCCGCGGTGAGGCCTCCGGTCCTCCAGAGGGCGCTCTGCGGGGGGCTGGCCAGCCGCCGGGCCTTCCGAGTGTCCAAGCCACAGCCGGGTCCCGAGGAGCCCGCGAGCCCGCGCCGCCGAGTCCGCGCGTGGCTTTCGCGCCTTCCGCCTTCGTGGATTGCGGAGAGGTGAGGGGAGCCTGCGTGGTGCTCGCCCTGGAAGCCTCTGTGGAGAGCTGGGCAGCCGGGGAGGGTGGACTGCAGGGGTAGCGGCTACTTGCATGGAGGCTGCAGGCTTTGTGGACAGGAGAGGCCACGGGATCAAATGCCTGGTGTTGGCTGTGTCTGCGGGGGAAGCGGGTGGAGGAATGGGGGCAGTGAGGGACGTAGGGGTGTGTTGTAGTGGAGGGAAGCTTTTCCTGTCCAGGGCTCACGGATTTAAGTGGAAGACGGCGTGGGCGCTGATGTTATTGACACAACATAGGGAGAGGGCAGTGGAATCCCAAACCGGGAAGTGTTGAGTGGGGAGGTGCTGGCGCCAGGCAGTGATGAGCGGGGAGAGAGGCGGGATGGGGGGATTGGGGGAGGGAAGGTGTACTTGGTTTGGAGTTGCCAGAGTTGAAGAGTTGGGAGTGAAGACAGAGGTCTGAAGGCAAGCGTGTGTTTGTGTATTCTGTTCTTGGCAGCTGACCAGAACCGGAAGCACCCGGGTACAAAAGTGGCTTGCGTTTGGCAGGGCTGGGAGTGCGTAGCCGTGCAGCCTAGCCCACAGTATGCGTCCGTGGGCTAGGGTGAGTGGTTTGGGAGCGGAGGGGAGCTGGATTGACCCAGAGTGGTGACCCGACCTTACCCACCTGCAGCTACCATGTTCAACCAGCAACTCCAGCAGCAGCAACTCCAGCAGCAGCTGCAGCAGCAGCAGCTCCAGCAGCAGCAGTTCCAGCAACAGCAGCAGTTACTGCAGCTCCAACAGCTGCTGCAGCAGCAGCAGCCCCCACCACAGGCTCCCCTGCCCATGCCTGTCAGCCGGTGAGTTTCCCACTTGGGAGAATGGAGGCTGTGGTCTGACGACACTCAGGCCCGTGTTTTGCAGCCTGGCTCCCACGACATCCTTGTTTGAGTATTAAATGTCATCAGTTTCCACCTCGGTGGGGACCCTCTATGTGCCGTAGAGAGGGAGAGAATGGAGGTGAGGGGTCTCCGGATGGACGGCTTTCCCAACAACCCTCTGACCCGCCCCCTCCCATCACACAGGGGCCTCCAGCAGCAGTCATCCCCGCAACAGCTTCTGAACCTCCAGGGCACCCCCTCGGCCTCCCTGCTCAATGGCTCCATGCTGCAGAGGGCTTTGCTGCTGCAGCAGTTACAAGGTATGGCGGTTCTCAGCAGTCCCCACTCAGTCTTCCCAGTGCACACAGTGACCCTGAGCATCCTTATGGGTAGACACTAGGCCTCCACGAGGTGACCGTCCTCAAGCCTCTCGGCTACCAGCGGAGTTACCAAGCCACGGCCCTGGCTTTTTTGGCGGTGCTCAGCACCACTTGCTGTCATGAAGATGACACGGTGTTCCCGAGGCGCTCAGCATCCTGCCAGACCTGAGCCTGGGTCTCCATGAATCCCTGTCGCTGGCCTCGGGTGTGAAGCCTTGTGCCCTTGCCTCAGTTTCTCCGTGTGGGCAGGAATCTCAGCCCTTCCTTCCAAGTCCTTCCTGACTCTACTGATAACCCTAAGGGGAGGTACACCCATAACCTCCTCTATAAACGAGAACCACGGCAACCTGAGGCAGAAGCGTTAGATGGCCCTCACGCGGCAGCCCTACCAGGACCGGTGTGGACAGCGCTCCGAGCTGCCTTTCGGATGACACCCGGATAATTGGAGAGAGAGAGAAATCCCATAGCGGATCACAGTGTTTTCATATATATGACACCTTTTTTTTCCATTTTAAAAGTCATGTTTGTCATAGTGAAAATGATGTGTTAAAATAGGAAAACATCAGCAACAAAAACCAAAGGGGACAGAGAGATGACTCAGTGCTTGGGAGTGTGTGCTGCTTAGGGTCCAGTACTCACAACGCCTCTAACTCCAGCTCCAGGGGGTCTGTCACTTTTATCTTGCCTTGGTGGCCATCCTCCCATGTACGACATAACGGTACCTGTACATGCACATAGTTAAATTTAAAATAAATACTGAAAAATAAAGTCATTGTAAACAAACAAAAAACCCAGTGCTAGGAAAACATTCACTCACTTCCAGGAGAGTCATGTTTTGGTATAGTTCTTTCAGTTTTTTTCTCTTGGAAGGAGTTTGGGAAGTTTGGTATGATTATAATGATTAATACAAGAAAGGGTCTATGTTGTGTTTTATTTATTTTACAGCGCTAGAATTGACTTTTTGTTTGTTTGAGACAAGGTCTTACTCTGTAGCCCAGACTGGCCGAGAACTCACTATGTAGACCAGGTTGGCCTTGAACTCACAGAGATCCACCTGCCTCTGCCTCCTGAGTGCTGGGATTAAAGGTGTGTGCCACTCCGTTTGGCCTTGCTTTGAGACAAGGCCTGACTCTGCCACCCAGGCTATTGTGGAATTTATTGTGTAAGCCAGGCTGGTCTTGAACTCACAATAGTCTTCGTACCTCATCCTCCAAGGGCTGGGATTATAGGCGTGAGCTGCCACACCAGCCTCTATACTGGTTCACTCAGGATATTTGTGATAGATTTAAGTTTTCACTAGAGGGATGTGCCCTATGGAAACCTCATTTATCTGTTTCTTTTCCCCCCCTTTCTCTTTTCTATCCTAAATACCATTGGGATGAACATGACATTGAGACTCTTCTCACCTCAGATTCCCAACATAGTGACTGAGTCGGGGGATGGATGTTTGATGGCTTTTGATAAGTATTGCCAAATTACTTTCCTAAGGACTGGACCAGTTTGCAATGCCACCAGCCACGTATGACAGTGCCGGCCTCACCATGCCCACGGCAGCATTGGGTATTCTATGCTTTTTTATATACACCTATATAAATGTATATGTGCATATCATTTACTAAGTTGGTTTGCAAAGGCTAAAGCTGTGTCTTGAATGTCTTAATTCACACTTCTACGTGCTAGTGCAGCTAAAATATTTTTACACTTTTCAGACATTTGCATTTCCTTTTGTGACTTGTCCATGTCCTTTGTCCATCTCTGTTTGAGAGCATTCTGTCTTTCCTCTTGCTGTTCATGGGAGCTGGGTGGCTCTGTGTGACAGTGTCTCTGTCTTTGCTATGCTTGTCTGTCAGATACACTCGTTCATAACTTTGCATCCTCATTTGACGTGAGGGGCAGGGAAACTGGTTTGCTCAAGGTTCCAGAGGTAGTGCTGTAGAGTCTGGACTTGAACTCGGCTCTCGGCACAACTGACCTGAGCCTTTAAGGCTGTGCTGCCCTCTCCTGCACTGCCCCGAATCTCAGCGTGGATGCTGAATCTCTTTTGCCTTCCCCGAGTAGAGAGAGCTGAGTCAGAGGAGATGTAGCAGGAACTAAGACGGCTGGTTCTGGGATAAGGGCCTCTAGGGACACAGACATCACGGAAGGCCTCCCGAAGGGGAGCTCTGAAGGATGCTGGGAAGTGGTGGGGCACAGCAGCTTCCACAGCGGGGTCAGCGTGTCCAAAGGCCCAGAGGCAGGTGACTGAGGACTGCACCAGGACCCGTGTGAGGCACCGAGGAGTGGCAGGGCCAGACTTCCTTGCTCTAGAAGGAACAGGCTTCCTTACTGAACAGGGACCTGCTCCGGGCAGGGGATGGGGTCAGAGAGAGCCTGTAGGCTACAGTTCCGGGGAGGGGTCAAGTGTCTTCAGGAGAGGAACAGCCTGCTTGGAAAGGCGCATGGCCGGTAGTCGCTAGGGCCTGGTGATGTCATGGATACGGAGGATAGGGTGAGGAGGAGTGACAGGTAGCGGGTGTCCCTCAGATCTTGGGCAGGCTCCTGCTCTGTTTTGTTATCTGTAGAAATAGCCACATCTGCCCTGTACCTGGCAGGCAAGAGGGCCGATGTGGGGCCTGGAGTGCCTCGGCGTAGCTCGGGCTTCCCACTCAGTGGTAGAGAAGCTGGTGGGGGACAGAGTGCTAAGCAACAGCTCCTTCTCCTGTGGTTCACACAGAGCTGGAGCGGAAAACCCACCCTTAGTCCTTTCTCACTAGGGCCCACAGCGGGCCTCAACGTGGCTTTACCTTCCCTCCGCTGCCCTTGGAAACTGTCTCTGATATTCCCATGATGCTTTGAGGGACCACGGTGTGACCTCATTCTCACCTTTTCTTCCCCACAGGCAACCTCCGTGCTTACAACATGACAGCCCCGAGCCTAGCAGCAGCCAACCTTACACCCCCCCAGATGGTCACCCCAAATCTACAACAGTTCTTTCCCCAGGCCACGCGCCAGTCCCTGCTGGGTCCTCCTCCTGTTGGGGTCCCAATGAACCCTTCTCAGCTCAGCCACTCAGGGAGGAACTCCCAGAAACAGGCAAGAACCTCCTCTTCCAGCACCCCCAATTGCAAGGTGAGTAGAGCTTTACGTGGAGCCGCAGGGGTAGGAGTCGGTGAAGGGGTACCCCAGTGTCAGCCCGGCTCCCTGTGCTTGGGCTCACCTGGCCTTTGGGCAGGTCATGCTCCCTCATGGTGCCTCAGTGTCCTTGTCTGTAAAATGAAGGCGGAGCTGTCTAGCCTCTCCCAAACCTCAAATACCTCTATGTCCTTGATGGGACTTTAGCCATACCCAAATACTACTCTATTATTATTTATGTACTATTTCTCTCTTAAACAAGCTTTTTGTTGTTGTTTTTTATTTTTTGGTTTTTGTTTGTTTACTTTTTCGAAAGAGGGTTTCTTAGTATAACTGTCCTGGAACTCACTCCGTAGACCAGATCAGAGATCCACCTGCCTCTGCCTCCCAAGGGCTGATCAAAGGCATGCACCATCACCACCCAGCTAAACAATTTTTTATTACTTCATTATTTTGACATGTGCCAAGGTGGGCACGTGAAGGCCAGAGAACAGCTTGTGTGGGCCTGCTTTCTCCTCCCACCGTATGGTCCTGGGAACAGAACTTGGGTTACTAGTTCTGATGCCAAACGTCTTTGCCTGCTGAAACATCTCACTGGTCCTTATTGATACTTCTCTTTATATCAGCAATGTTTAATAGAAATATAATGAGTCATGTATATGATTTAAAAATTTTGATAACCACATTAAAAAGATTAAAAGGTCAAGGTATGATGACTAACATCCATCACCCCATTGCTGTGTATTCCAGACTATCCTGAGCTAAAGACCTTACAACTTTAAAAATGAATTAAAAGAAACAGATAAAGTTGATTATACTGTCAGGTGTTGTGATGTACGCCTATAATCCCAGCACTCTGGAGATGGCACAAAAGGCTTGGGAGTCCTCTTCAGCTACATAGTGAGTTCTAGGCCAGCTGTCCCAAAACAATCAAACAAAAATGAGTAAAATAAGGTAAAATTTACTAACATATTTTAGTTAGTCTAACATTGTAAAAAAATTACCATTTTGTCTAAATAAAAAAAAATACCATTTTAACCTGTATTAAAAATAAATAAATAAATAAATGAGCTGGGCAATGGTGGCACACACCTTTAATCCCAGCACCTTTAATGGAGGCGGAAGCAGGTGAATATCTGAGTTTGAGGCCACCCTGGTCTACAGACTGAGCTCCAGGACAGCCAGGGCTACACAGAGAAACCCTGTCTCAAAAAAAAAAACCAAAAATAAACAAATGAGAAATAAATAAGATCTCTTGCTGATTGATTATTTGTTCGTTTGTTTTTTAAGAGACAAGGTCTTACCCCCCAAACTTTCAGTACCTCTGTGCCTTGTGTTGCCCAGCCTGACCTCAGAAGTCCCGGCTCAGGTGATCCCCTGCCTTAACCTCCCAAGTTCCTAAAACTACCAGTATATTTCCCCATGCCCCATTTTGTCCTTAAAAAAACAAAAAAAACTGGGGCTGGAGAGATGGCTCAGAGGTTAAGAGCACTGACTGCTCCTCCAGAGGTCCTGAATTCAATTCCCAGCAACCACATGGTGGCTCACAACCATCCGTAATGAGATCTGGTGCCCTCTTCTGTCCTGCAGGGGTACATGCAAACAGAACACTGTATACATAATAAGTAAATAAATCTTAAAAAAAAAAAAAAAAAAACCACTAAATATTCCATATCTATTGTGTCATTAAGCTTTCCACCTTAATTAAACACTCCGCGTTTCAAGTGTTTACCTGAGGCTAGTGGTCATGGTGTGGGACAGGCAGCTCTGAAAGTTACTTTTAAGGTGCGAGGGTATGGCTCAGTGGTAGAACACAGGCTCAGTGGTAGAGCTGGAGGCTCTGGTTCTGCAAAAAATAATTGTGCGGGGCGGTGGTGGTGCACGCCTTTAATCCCAACACTCGGGAGGCAGAGGCAGGCAGATCTCTGTGAGTTCGAGGCCAGACTGGTCTACAGAGTAAGATCCAGGAAAGGCGTAAAACTACACAGAGAAACCCTGTCTCGAAAAACAAAAAACAAACAAAAAAAAAATTGTATCACTGCCTAAAGTTTCAAAAATGTGTAATCCTCATACATAGAATAAAAGTAGAGTCCCGGGAGGCCGTGGTCTTCACACAGCTGCATCTGTAGAGTCCCGGGAGGCCGTGGTCTTCACACAGCTGCATCTAAAGCCCCCAGCGGCCACCTGGTGGGTATAGTGTGTTCATGGGTTCAGCTTACCACATGCAGAAGACTCAGAGATTCACAAAGAAGAACCCGCACACGTTGTTCCGGCCCTGCATGTCCTTACAGCTCTTTGCACAAGGCCGGCTCTCAGATGTCTTCTAGGGCACGAACAGTGCTCCTTACGTAATTGCTATTGTCCTCCCTCATCTGGAGGAAGGCCTTCCCTCCAGAGAAGGACTCAGCCTCTACGTGGGGGTATGGCCGGGCACAGGTCATGGCTATGCTCCTGTTTTACGTATAGGGCAGCTACAGCTGACAGGCTGTGGTGGTTGAGGCAGGCACAGAATCCAGGCTCCCTGGCTCCCTGGGTCTTCCAGGGCAAGAGCTAGCTCGGCTCTAGAGGGTCCAGCGTCCTGCTGTGGGGTACATATGTGTTTTCACCAGGCCCAGAGGCCTTAGCAGGAAGAAGGGGAGCTGTGAGTGGCACCTGGGGCTTCCCAAGGTGCCCAGGAAGTGGTTGGTCAGCAGCACAGATGTGGCATCTGGCCTGGCCCTTCTGTGGGTCTTGGGTGTGTGTACAAGAGCTATTAATGCAATTACACGAGAGCAATTAATTAAGACTGGAAATAAGTGAGACCCTGTCTCAAATAAATGAGAGTAACAAAAACTGGGAAACTCCACTAAAAGGGTCTGGTCCTGCCTATGTTAGGAGCTCCCCAATAAGAGCTCTCAGGCTCCATTTGAAGGCTGGGGGCCTGGCTTGACCAGAGAAAGGCCAGCAAGGATGCATGGAGAGGTAGCAGGGATGCTGGTCGGGGGTCCAGAGGGGACCGGAGAGGCAGAGGTCCAGGGTGTGCAAGTGGAGAGGAGTGGACAGGGGCTTGTGGGTTAGGAGAATCCCAGGGCTAGGAGGCCTGGGAGGGTTTAGGCCAAAGGCTCTCTCTGGCTCCCTAGGGAACAGGGAGTGAGAAGTCGAGACGACCAGTGGGACCAAGAGATTCTGTGTGTCCCCAGCCCGGACTGAAAAAGCAGTCAGGCTATAGATAGATGGGCGGGCTCCTCAGACAATGACTCTTGAGGTGTTTCAGGTCATCTGCCCTTCAGCCCCGTCAGTCCCTTGAGCAGGAGGGTGTTTGCAAGTGAGGTGGAGGTTAAAAAATGGATTCTAAAAAGAAGCAGGATTCTTTTTCCCAGACAGTGCCTCTGGGAGACGGGGAGGACCCCACAGAGGGGTCTGAAGAAGCCTTGGAGCTCCAGATGGACACCCCTGAAGGTGAGGCAGACATCAGGGCAGGGGAGATCTCGGTGGCAGGTGAGCCAGGCCGTCTCCTGGAGCTGGCTTCCGTCACCTGCCTTCATTGCAGACCAAGATTTGCTCGTGTGTCCAGATGGCGTGGTGAGTGAGACCCCAGTGCCTGAGCCTGAGCCCTTTGAGGCATCAGAACCAGCAGCCAAAAGGTCGAAAAGGTGAGTGATGCTGGCCACATGCTGGGGCTCAGAAGCCTGGAAGTTAGGTCTTGGCCTCTGGTTGAGGGGAGGGTCAGGTTCATCCCTGTATCTACATGGGTGAGAGCCACCTGGAGGCCAGGCTGGGCACCTAGGAGGAAGGGGGTCTTTGCAGAGTGCATGGATGGTGCCAGTTTATAGGGTTAATTCAAAACATGTTGCAAGGTGGAGAGCCAATGCCCCTGAGTTTAGGTAAAACAGGCCTGGACAGCGTTCAAGCTTCCCCGATCCCCCATTGTAAGTAGAGCTGGGGTTAGGAGCTGGGTCATAGTTCCTCTATGTTAGGAACAGTTTTGATCTTTGATTTTCCTGTTTAGTTTTTGTTTTTTGAGACAACTCTGGCCGGGCAGTGGTGGCGCATGCCTTTAATCCCAGCAGAGCCAGGTGGATCTCTGTGAGTTCAAGGCCAGCCTGGGCTACCAAGTGAGTCCCAGGAATGGCGCAAAGCTACACAGAGAAACCCTGTCTCGAAAAACCAAAAAAAAAAAAAAGAGAGAGACAACTCTGGCTGACCTGGAACTCACTCTGTAGACCAGACTGCCCTCCAACTCTTAAGAGATCTTAAGAGATCCCCCTGTCTCTGCCTGCCTAGAGCTGGGATCAAAGGTGTAGACCACCACCGCCTGGCTTTTTGATTGTCTTTGGATCTTTCCTAGCTCAGAGGAGTCCACAGAGAAAGGGCTTGCAGGGCAGCCACAAGCAAAGGTCCAGCCTCAGACCCAGATGACAGCACCGAAGCAGACACAGACCCCAGAGCAGCTGCCTGAGCCCCCAGGAGCCCAAGTCCTGCCACATTGCCAGCCACAGGTCCTGCAGATCCAGGCCCGGGTGCAGCCAAGGCTGCAGAAACAGGCACAGACACAGACCTCTCCAGAGCACTTAGCACCAGAGCAGAATCAGGTACAACGGCAGGTACCTTCCCAGCCCCCACGGCAGGTGCGGCCTCAGGAGACAGACCCACAGAAGCAAGCTCAGACACGGACCCAGACACAGACACATCCACAGGTATCCGCCCAAGCACCGCCACGGGAACAGCTTCCAGGACAGAGGCAGGAGCAGACAGCAGAGAAGAGCCAGGACCAGCCTCAGACTTGGCCACAGGGGTCAGCACCCCATCCAGAGCAAGCGTCAGTCCCGGCCTGTGCCACAGAACAGCAGCCATCTGACCCTGCAGAAGCTGAAGGAGGTGAGCAAGTGTGTGGCCTCCTGGGCAGACCCAGCCCTGCCCAGCCTTCTTTCTCCACCTGGCACTGTTTAGCCTTGGCTGGGGACTGAGGGCTGGGCCCAGAGTCCAGAGCTGGGGCCATCCCCATCTTGAACTTCAGGGTCATGGCTGTGGACAGAGAAGCCAGCTCTCTTGGACGGAGATCTTGGACCCCAGATGGGAGACACACGCTGGGAAGGAACATATCTGTCGTTTCAGGCCCAGAGGAGGCCTTGCCAGAACCAGCAGGTGCCCAGAGCAGTGAAGACACGAGCCAGGAGGCCTCGGCTGTTGGCCTGGATGTGGGAGAATGTGAAAAGAGAGCAGGAGAGCTGCTTGGGGTGCGTCAGAGCCTGACGGCAGCCTTGCGCCTGGCTGCACGGGTCAGCCACACGGGGTTCCTCTGCTCTTGGGTCTTTTTTCTGAAGATCTGGATGTGATTTTGGTAACGAGTTTCTTCTGATCTGGCCACTCCACACTAGAGTCCCTAATCCCTCATGTGGTGACAGCATTTTAGTGCAAAGAGAACCACAGCAAAAACCTCCTTGTGGGACTTGGGTCCCAGCTCTATCTTAGGACAGAACTTCCAACCTCTTTTCTTCCGTGGGCCTCATGTGAGGAGTGGTATGAGTTGGACTTTAGAATTAAACAGAGCTAGGTTGGGAGTGGTGGTATACATCTTTAATCCAGTAACACACACACACACACACACACACACACACACACACACACACACGAGATCTAAGTTCAAATCCTGGCTATCATATTCTCTGTGTACGCTTGGGCGGTCACATAAGAACCTAACCTCAGGTTCCCTATCAGGAAACTTTGAGGAAACGATGCTCAGAGGTGTTTCTTGTTGGGGCTGGATCACTATCAACACCCAGATGGTAGAAACCCTGTCTCTGAATCTACTGTAGATGTGGGGGGCTGGGGGCTCCCTGAAGGTCACCATCCTGCAGAGCAGCGACAGCCGGGCTTTCAACACCACGCCCCTCACGTCTGGACCTCGTCCTGGGGACTCCACGGCCGCCCCCGCCCTTGGCAGCACGTCCTCCAAGCAGACCCTCCAGTTCTTCTGCTATATCTGTAAGGCCAGCTGCAGCAGCCAGCAGGTACTGTGGGGGAGGAGGGGTGGGGGGTGGGGGCTGGGGGCCTGCCTTCGCTACACTGCCCAGATGGCTGTCGGTCTGCTTAGACATTTCCTGATCAGCTGGTAGAGCAGGTTTTTAGGAAAACCTGGTTCAAATCTGACTGACTATCAAGGTCTCCAGAAGTAAACTCCACTCTTGCGTCTTTTCCTCTTGTTTTCAGTGAGTACAGCCAAGAACTTACCTCACTGTGTGTCTTAGGGCTCAGCACTTGACATTGAAGTTCTGAGCCCATGTCCGGCCCAGGCAAGGGGAGCATTAACAATAATAGTAGTCTGAGTAAGGCTGATTCTAGTTACTTGAGAAGCCAGGGCAGGGGTATCATGAGTTTAAGGGCAACCTGGTCAACTTAGTGAGAGAGAGCTTGTCTCAAAATTAAAAATTAAAAAAAAAAAAAGTACTGTTGGGATATAGTGCAGCCCTTGCTTAACATGTGAGGAACAAAATAAATAAATGGATAGCACTCTTGGCTGGGACTGTCTGGGCTTCCTGCAGCTGCTCCTAGCCGCCTGGGGGTTTGAAACAGGACTCATGAGCACCTGAGTTTCAGATTGACCTGGGCAATATAGCCAGAACTTAATTTCTTTAAATTAAAAAGACAAACACTTTTTTTTTTTTTTTTTTTTTTTTTTTTTTTTTTTTTTTTTTTTTTCGAGACAGGGTTTCTCTGTGTAGCTTTGCGCCTTTCCTGGAACTCACTTGGTAGCCCAGGCTGGCCTCGAACTCACAGAGATCCGCCTGGCTCTGGCTCCCGAGTGCTGGGATTAAAGGCGTGCGCCACCAACGCCCGGCTGACAAACACTTTTTTAAAAAGACTTATTTTCATTTTATGTGTATAAGTATTTTGCCCATATGTCTATCCATTCACCACATGGGTCCAGTGCCCATAGAAGCCAGAAGAAGGCATCGGATCCCTTGTAACTTGAGTTACAGATGGTTGTGAGCTGTCATGTGGGAGCTGGGAATTGAACCCAGGTCCTCAGGAAGAGCAGCCGGTGCTCTTGGCCGCTGAGCCGTCTCTCAGCCCTGACCTCCAGTTTCGTTAATGCTCTTCTTACCTGCAACTGTGGCCCCTGACTGAGCAGGACCATTTAGAGCCATGTTTCTTACCACAGAAGCACTCCTGGATATGGGTGTGGATTCCTTCTGTGCCTCAGTTTACCATCCCTGCCCTGGCCTACATTGAGCTGTGTAAAATATGCCAGTTGTGGTGGCACATGCTGGTAGGCCATGCGGGAGAAACGGCGTCTGTGGATGAGAGATGCAGGATGGCCGTGACGCTTGGAGTTGTCCCCCCCACGGCTGCGGCTCACAGCCACCTCTGGTTCCTTCATGCCGCAGGAGTTCCAGGACCACATGTCAGAGGCTCAGCACCAACAGCGGCTTGGGGAAATGCAGCACTCGAGGCAGACCTGCCTGCTGTCTCTGCTGCCCATGCCTCGGGACATTCTGGAGAGAGAGACAGAGTGAGTCAAGGCTGGCAGAGGCTCACGTGGGGCAGGACGCCTCACAGACCAGGCCCTGAAGAGACACTCTCAAGTCTGCCTGGGCATTAATCATTGCTCTGCATGCCAGTAACTGTAACCTTGGGCCTCAGTTTCCCGTCTGTAAAGTAGTCTGACGAGGGGGGTAGCGGCAGTGTCCCAAGGGTCCTTCCAGGTGAGAATAGTGTGACTCCCCCGTGGTCGGGAGGAGGGTTAGGGTACAGCGCCCTGCTCCTCTGGTCTGTGCTGGCTCTGACCATAGCAGCACAATGGCAAGAATCAGGTCGTCCTGTGGCCTGGGGCTAGACCTTCCGAGGCCTCCTTTTGTCACAGGGGATGTGGTTGGTCTGAAATGTCCACCTGGAGTCTGGAACTAGCACTTGGAGTGACAAGGCTGGGAGGGGGGGGAGGCTGTGGCAGCTGCCAGGCCTCAGTGGGTGTCACAAGCCTGCAGGGCTAGGAAGTGTCGTTGGAGAAAGCTGAACCAGAGAGACTTGGAACTGGGAGATGAGGGCTGTGTCTCCTGGGACAGCTGCCTCGGTGGTTGCCAGAGTGCCCAGTATTTGAGGAGAATCCAGGAACTTGGGTAACTTAGGAAGCCTCACAATTTCAGAGTGTCAATAACAAACCCAGCTATGGTGACACACACCTGTGATCCCAGCACTTGGGAGGCCGAGGCAGAAGGATCAAGAGGTTTTTGTTGTTGTTTTTGAGACAGGGTTTCTCTGTGTATCCCTGGCTGTCTTGGAACTCGTTCTGTAGACCAGGCTGGCCTCGAACTCACAGAGATCTGCCTGCCTCTGCCTCCCGAGTGCTAGGATTAAAGGCGTGCGCCGCTGGTTGTGGTGGCGCGCACCGGTAGGATTTGCTGAAGGAGACAGAGGCAGGAGGATCTTGAGTTCGAGGCCAGCCTGGACTACTGAGTGAGTTCCAGGAAAGGTGCAAAGCTACACAGAGAAACCCTGTCTCAAAAAAACCAAAAATAAAAAATAAAAAATAAAGGCGTGCGCCACCATGCCCAGCTGAAATCGAGAGTTTAAAGCCAGCTGCATAGTGAGGTCTAAGCTGACTTGTTCAGAATCACACCCAGCCCTGTTGAAGACAAGTCAAGCCTTTCCCGGGCTGGACAGACAACTGTCTGAATCAGTGGCTGGGGTCTACCAAGGACGAGGAGTCAGCAGGAACTCATGGCCGCTCTGCTTTTGGCCTGGTGGACAGAGAGCATAGGTCTGTTAGCTCTCATTCAGAGGAGTCAGGAATCTCTGCCCTTCCCTGTCTTTCGGCTATTTCGGCTAGAGCCCTGGCCCCTCAAGAAGGCTAAACCCTAGCTTCCAAACTGCACTGCATTTCCGAGCACTCCAGGAGACTTTACAGCGTCACGCCCTGCTTGTTTTTATTGTCGCCATCCAGAGAGCCTCCACCAAAGCGCTGGTGCAACACCTGCCAGGTGTACTACATGGGAGACCTGATCCAGCACCGCAGGACACAGGAGCACAAGGTGCCAGCCACTCACGTGCTGCAAAGGCACCTGTGTGTGCCACAGCCAGGGCGGGGGAGGGGCCCTGGGTGGGAGTGGGAGGTAAAGTCTGTTCTTGTCTTCATGTGACTGTCAGGCACGTGGCTTCTGGTGAGTCAGTCATGCTCCTCTTTGGGCTTTCCTGTGCCCATCTGTTCGGCGGAGGCACCAGCTCACCCTGCCTCTAGCCTACTGGGGGTCTTTGGTGGCCATTCCCTCTCCTGTCCTGTCTCTGTTGGTACCTACCATCCCACATAGTGAAGAGAAGTGATTTGCATGTCCCATTGTAGGGGCGGGGCTCAGTTGGGCCACCGGTAGTGTGGCTTGTACCTAGGGATGCTGCGGTGCATCACATGGCCGGCCTGCCTTTCCCCCAGGTCGCCAAACAGTCCCTGAGGCCCTTCTGCACCATCTGCAACCGTTACTTCAAGACCCCTCGGAAGTTTGTGGAGCATGTGAAGTCCCAGGGACACAAAGACAAGGCCAAGGAGGTAACCCGCTGCCTGAACATAGCATGAAGCCTTCCCCCAAGATCATAGAGCAGGGCCTAGAACCCTCAGCTGCCCATAGCTGACCTAAGCCCCTCGTCCATGCCGTGGGCAGCTGAAGACACTTGAAAAGGAGATAGCCAGCCCAGAGGAGGACCACTTCATCACAGTGGATGCCGTTGGTTGCTTTGAGAGTGATCAAGATGAGGACGAGGAGGAGGAGGAAGAAGAGATTGAAGCTGAGGAGGAATTCTGCAAGCAGGTATGTGGGGTGGCCATTTGAGGCTAATAGAGCTGGGAGGGTCCCTCCTGGTCCTTGAGGGACCCAGACACTGCATTGGCATTTGTAGCTACTAATGCATGCTGCAGTTATGGGCTGTGTCACATGTGCCCATGAAAATAGGCACAGGGCTGACTATTGAGTGACAGGTGAAGTATACAAGGCCTCAAAGGCTGGCCGAGACACTGACTGTGGGGGAAGGGGGCAGAGGGAACGGTGTTTAGCCAGGCGCAGAAGGCGTGCTACAGCGGACTGTCGGAAGTCCTGTGAGCTTTTCGTTCGTGCTATTTCTGGACAAAGTAAAAGAAATGCAGGTGGGTGGGGGTGTGGAGGGGAAGGCAGAGGACTGGGAACGATAGCCCAGTGGTAGAGCACTTGCCTAGCACGTGCAAAGCCCTAGACTCACTCCCAGCACCAGGCGGAGGTAGTCAGAGGCTCCCGCACAAAGGAGGCTGAGGCAGGAGGCTTGAGAGCTCCATCACATGCTACGTACCAAGACCCTGTCTCAAAAAGAAGAAGAAGAAAAAGGATGGTGGTGAGAAGCTGCGCTGCTCTTCAGAGGACCTGGGTTCAATTCCCCACACCCCTGTCAGGTCGCTCGTAATTGCCTATGCCTCCAGTCCCTGTAGATTTGACAAGCACTAGCCTCAGGTACCCACGCCCACACCCACTCAAATGTATTGAAACAGCAGCCTAAGAAAGGAGGGGTTTATTTTGGCGTGGAGGAAGGGGCTAACTGAACCCCACGGCGCAGTCATCAGAAGGACCCTTGGGAGGCAGGATCGCCGCGTGCCATGGCTCAAAGAAGGCCACCCTCAACCAGCTGTGAGCCGAGGGGATGGTTGGTGTGCTGGAGACCATGGGTGCACTGCAGGCCCCTGACCTGTGTCCGTGTGGAGCCTGCGGCATCCCATCTGAGCCCCACTCCCTCCCTTTCCAGGTGAGGTCGAGAGATCCATCTTTAGAGGAACAGAAGGGTTCAGAGACTTACAACCCCAACACGGCGTATGGTAAGACCCCAAGTCCCCAGTCTCAGTCACAGCACTGCAGCAAGACGCCCACCCTCCGGGCGGTGGGACCCCAGCTGGTGAGGGGGACCCGAGTCTGCAGCCCCCCGCTGTCTGTCCCCAGGTGTGGACTTCCTGGTGCCCGTGATGGGCTACGTCTGCCGCATCTGCCACAAGTTCTACGACAGTAACTCGGGACTGCGGCTCTCCCACTGCAAGTCCCTGGCCCACTTTGAGAACCTGCAGGTGAGCGGCCATCGACTGCCCTGCCTGGGGCACAACTCTGTGCGAGCTGGCGGGGATGGCCAGCAGCGGGTATGGCCAGCAGCGGGTATGGCCAGCAGCTGTTCGCCGCTCCACCAAGCCAGTTCCCAGCCATACTGCCACAGCAGGGGAGGAC